AAAGAATGATGACAATTCAAATAATAAACGAATGATGTCAATTCAAATAATAAACGAATGATGTCAATTCAAATAATAAATGAATGATGTCAATTCAAATAATAAATGAATGATGTCAATTCGAATGATAAACGAATGATGATAATAATTCGAATGATAAACGAATGATGATAATTCGAATAATAACAATAAACGAATGATACAATTTGAATAATAAAGAATGATAACAATTCAAATAATAAACGAATGATAATAACAATTCAAATAATAAATGAATGATGATAACTCGAATAATAATAATAAATTAATGATACAATTTGAATAATAAATGAGTGATACAATTCAAATAATAAACGAATGATGACAACAATGCGAATAATAAACAGATGATACAATTCAAATAACAAACGAATGATATATACAATTCGAATAATAAACAATTCAAACAAAATGAATGAATGATTTGAATAATTTGAACAAAAATTTTATTACGAATAGAAACTCAACTCTATTGCAGAGTCACTAAATCTGGCACAATAATGTTCAAACTAAACTAAAATATACAACTACATACTTGAGGCGTCCCTACAAGCAATATAGTAAAACTAATAAAAGGGGTCTCTAACTAATAATTAAATGTTGGCCAAACCATTAATCATCAGAAAAGGTTATGAATCAATCAATCATGCCAGATTTATTAATTGAAATGTTATTTTTATTACCAAAGTTTTATTATTGAAAAATCAATTTATTTATTTTTATTGATTAATTTTTTTTTTCACTGAAGGAGATTTCAAGCATACATATTTATACTTCCTGAAGTATTACAAATAACATGACATTTATTGAGAATTACTAAAGTTAAATATTAAAAATGCATCATTGATGTTATCATGATTAAACGATACCTAATGAAATGTTTGTGGCAAGAAATTATTTGTCATAATTAAAAAATTAACTTGTGGTTTGAGAATATTATGAAAATCATAGAAATAAAAGATTATGACAATTATGATTGTTATTTTTGTAGTCCATCAACTTTTAATACTGTTAAACCTTTTTTTTTTTTTATCTTTATAGTGAACAAAAAGTCAAGACCGTTAGTTAGCACATTACCTTGCTTATTTGCTGAATTTGTTGAAAAAGTCACCAGTTGAAATCATGCGAATCAATCTTGGAGACAAGCATCAGGAAAGGCAGTGATGGAACGTATACAAGTTTTTGCTAAGTGGATTAATTGTCCACAAAGGCTTACATTCTTATTAAATAATAATATTTCTTATTGAAAAAAAACTATTCAATTATATTAACTTACAAGAAAACCGTTCAAAGAATTAGATATGAAATATTCAGAGAGTAAATTAGTGCAAAGCAAGCAAGAATTGAAGAAAGGTGGGAGTATTGTTGTGTGCATCAGTAAATGTTGTATTTTAAAAAGAATAGACATCTTAGCTAAGCATTTTCCTGAAATATCTTTATTGATTATTAAGATATTTATTTAGTATATGGTTATTATTTAATCATACTATAAATATTTATACGTAATAGCATTTGTTGTGTTTTAGTATTTTGGTTCAATTTTTTTTTCCCAATTGAAAAAACCATTAGTTAAGCAAAACAAAATGTATTATAACAAATATTTGGAGAACTTTAGTTAAAAAAAAATCAAAAAAGTTATAGGAAACTATTTTGGAATAATTATTAAAAATTTATTGAAGGGTCTTTGTGATAGATTATGAAAGAATCAGATAATACTTATAATTTATTAAAAAAATGCACA